AGCTGACCTCAGCGAACGACCTACAGAGAGTTTGGCTGAACATTGCCGCATGCTCTACTAGGCCCTAGGCCCTCAGGCCATGGCTTGCCTTAGCCAGCGATGGCTCCTGGGTGGCGGCCTTGTTGCTGCTGCGGGCGCCTACTCCACCATGCGTCTTGCCTGAAGCCACTTCATGCCAGAATGTCCATTCAGCTTTCAAGCTGTTGCGCGATATGTTACGAGAGCGATTTTGTCAGCCGATGCTGGTTGCGTTGATCAGAACGTTGGGCGTACAGCTGAGTCAGTGCCTGGGTTGATTTTCGAACAGGTCAGCTAACTGATGTTTTGCAAAACACGATCTCCCGGCTTTGGGTTTGGGCCTGATGGCTTCCGGCTCATGAAGTCGGTGTGTAGATTGCGTGTCTTATACGTTCTTCAGTCATCTCTTGTTGCTTCCACAAGTGGTATGTGATGCCCAGTCAGACCATGAGCTTGCCAGGAAATTCCGGCGGCCAGTGGTGGTTATTGGAGGTTCGCGGCTTGAACGGAAAGCCTTGGGTGAACTCTTGTGCGCCAGGGCGTAGGCCAGGAAGGTTGCTGGAGCCTGTTTGCTACGGTGGACGGCTTGGAGACATGTTGCCAGAATTTACCAGAAGCTCCGACACAATCACTGTCGATGCAACGGTTCACTGTCAAATGCCGAAAAGTCGCCAAGCCACATGCATCATTCCAGACCAGGTGTGCTCTAAATCTTCTTGCAGGCGGTGTCATGGGGCTCAGCACAGCGGCGCGGCTTGCGGAGCATGGCTACCGTGTCGTGGTTATTGACGAGAATCACCCCATTCGAGGCAGGAGGCATGTGCTTCGGGCTTGAAGGGCCTTGCTCTGATTGGAAGTGCTGCATGGATGCATGGTTTTGAATCCTGAATGTGATGCGGTCTCAGGGCAGTGCAATACAATAGGACCGAAAGAAGATCAAGCCTGGCATCCTTTTGGTTAGGCTCAGGCGAGAAGGGCCCTAGTGTTGCATGCTGGCCTAAGCTCAAGACCTGTTTACATTTTCATGGATCACCTGTCAGATCTGAATGCTTACCTCTGAAGTTTGCGGTGGATTGAAAATCCACACTTGACAGAAATCCTTTCCTTGAAGATTCATCGGCAATCCTGTCATTGCACATACTTGCCTGTTGCTGTTGACAACCTGCCTGGCACAGGCTCCTGGGGATCCACCAGGGCGAGCCACTTGCGCATGGAGGATGATGTTATGATTCTGAACACCCTTACCGCTATTCTTCTTCTTGCACTTGTAAGAGTCGGTCGAGTGCTGGAGAGGGGTACGCTCATTACGAAAGCCTCCCCAAGGTACTAAGGGGGTTTGGGGAGGGGAAACCACCAAAAATGGTCAAATCTGCCCGTGTTTCGCCAGCCAGACCCAGGGGCAGGCGGGTTTTTGGGAGGTCAGTGCGCGAGCCTCGAAAATAGGTATGATGAGGGGTCTGTTTTGATGTGGTTTCGGGATGGCAGGTTTTTGAGCATGTTGGAACTTCATGAAAAATGCACGCGCCAGTATGCACTCTGCTTGAAAGCTTTCGTCCCCCTGGCGGGCGCAAGTGACGACTATTGCAGATGCCCCAGATGGATCAAAACTTGTTCGGGGAGGAATTCTTTTACAAATGTAGGCCCTAGAAAATGGGGGCACGCCCCTACTTGAGCGCACGCTTACTGCTGGTCCACCTCCTCCTGTTCCCCGCCCTTCCCGTTCCAGCACCATTAACTAGAATAGTGGCAGCAGCAGCAGGAGGAGGAGTAGTAGAAGTAGTAGTGGTGGTAGTAGTAGTAGTACATGCAGAAGAAGTAGTAATCGGAGAAGAAGTAGTACGCGCGCTTTATGTATTTGACGACCCGTTATGCTGGCTGTCCCGGAACTGGAGAAGCAAGAAAATACTGCAAAACGCAGTCCTTCGGAAGGGGGCTAACTTGAAGAAGGTGCAAAGTTCGGAGTCAGGATTTTTCGGGTTTTTTTC